ATGTTGTAGTTTACTTAAAATGAACTCTATAAAGTATACAGAAATGTTGGATGATGTTCTCATAACTTATATGGATGAAAACATGGATAATGCCTTATTTCAGCAAGATAAAGCTGCAATTCACACATCTAGGCATTCTATGAAATGGTTTAAAGACCACAACATCTCTGTTCTCAAATGGCCAGCTTGTAGCCCAGACTTAAATCCAACGAGAACGTGTGGGGAATGCTAGCAAGAAAAGTTAATGACGCTAAAGCAGCCGGACGCTTTAAAACTTTTACTGAGTTAAAGTGAAAAATTCTTGAAACATGGTCCAAGTTGGATCAAACTACACTTCAACGACTAGTGGAGTCAATGAAAGGCAGAATTTTTGAGGTGATGCAGTGTAATGGAGGACATACGCATTACTGATTTTCATCTTTTAATGTCAAAAATATGACTGCGTTGATAAATATATTCCAATTTAAAAATGCACTTTTGCATATCAAACATACTCTCATGTTAATAAAGACACATATAAGAAAATTTTTTGTGACTTTTATTAACCCACAACCCTATTTTGATAATAACTTGCATGCATATCCGTTGAAAATTCATAGAAAAAAATTAAGATAAAAAGAAAAAAATTGATGCATCTAAACAAATATGCCTCTCTGTGTGTGTGTGTGTGTGTGTATATATATATATATATATATATATATATATATATATATATATATATATATATATATATATATATATATATATATATATATATATATATATATATATATATATATATGATATTTAGTTGATCATCAAATCATCAAAGATCATTGAAGTGTCATAGTGCCTATATTATTGAGCAATGATATATATATATATATATATATATATATATATATATATATATATATATATATATATATATATATATATGTATATATATTTATATATATATAACAAATGTGCAGAGAATTAAGGTCAATAAAATAGACCTAATTTGTAAAAATATATTTAATAACACAAATGTTCCTAACAAAATATTATTCTGTTGAATTTTAGTCATAAGAATTTATTTCATGGTTCGTTTTAATTAATCATTTCAGTAATTATTCTTTTATTTAACCAATACATTAAATTATAGTTTTAAAAAAATGGTCATTTTCAGAGCTCTACAACTTTTTTTTGTTATAGAAATTTAACATTTGCATAGTTTTTTTAAAAAAATGCATGTATTTTAAGCTTAATTTGTTTCAAACTAATGTTACAAATGTAATGCATTGTTATGTAAAACTAATATGATATTAAACATTATACTAAAATTTAAATATTCCTAAATTTATTCTATTAGAGAATTGGAGTTGTTAACCGTAATTTCATCAGGATTTAGTATCCTTATTTATCTTACTAATGAATCATAACAGCAAATTTGAAATAAAATAAAATTATAGAATAGAAATAGATAGAGGCACAAAATTATATATTTTATGTTAAAATTATCATAATATGAAAGATAGTGGCATAATATGCTTACCATTTTCTACAATTTCCCAACACAGGGACAACAGAGCGCAAAGAGACAGCGAACTTGTTTAGTGTATCTACTTTAGAATTATTGCCTCGATTTCACTTTTCATAAACACCGTAAAAAAAAAAAATTCCATACCAATAACTTTTTACTTTCCACTACTTATTTTGCGCGCAGTTTTCAAATTTAAATCTTTATTAGGCCCTTAAATCTAAAAGACACATTATAGTTCTACTATTTGAAAAATGTAAAACATTTACATAAATAATTCAGCCAAAATTACTCTTTTAGAGCTTAACTTGCAAGCAAATAGAAAACTATAAAAGAAATAAATAGAAGAAGAAAAATTACCAGAAAAGCTGTTGTTAAATATAAAGAAAAAGATATAAAATACAAAAAACGCGGAAACTCCAGGAAGACCATAAGGTCTTGTCTCATAAAACCAGTTTTGAAGAACTTTGTCAAAAAAACTTTTAAAGTTTATTTATTATTTGTTTATTTTTTTTTATTACGTTGTGCAAGGTAGATTAGGGCAGGTTATGTCATACTGTTTGATGCAAAAACTTACATATATTATAATTGAAAAAACTTATATTTTTGTTCGAAAAAACGTGTATTAACCCTTAGTTGCATAGAGTACATAAACGCTTTAAAAGTAAGTTAGTAATTGATTATAATCAAAATCGAATATGTTTTGTTTCGTTGCACGTTTAATGTAAAGTGGAAGTTATAGTCTTTATATTACTTGTTAGGATTGATTTCCACAATCGTGGCTCTCGGCAAGATATTGAGAAGTCAGCTTGTTTTAATAAAGTTTTTGGTATAACAAAGTTGTTAATTGAGTGCTTAGTTTGATATTTGTGGTTTATAGAAATAAATTGATATTGGGAAGTGTTTGGTATTAGTAGATTCTTTAATTTAAACACAAAAAGTAGTTTTTTAAGTATATTTACTTCGAAAACATTAGGCACTCCAAGTTCTCTTAGCAGAGGTTTGGCACTGGTTTACCTGTTTGCGTTTAATATTAAGCGACATGCATGTTTTATTTTTTGTAAATTGCATTTAGCTTTGTTGCATAAGTACTCGCCCAGATTATGTTACAGTTATTGATGCAGCTATGAATAAAATAAATATTTTTTAAACAAGTTGTATTAAAAAGGTGCTTTGATTTATACATAATTCCGATAATTTTAGATATTTTCTTTTCCAATTTTTTGATATGATTACTCTAGCTAACTTCTTCATTAAGAATTACACCTAAAAAGTTGATTGAGTATTCTCTTTTAAGTTTAGTTTTGTCAATAAGCAGTTATGGAAGTTTTAAGAGGGAGGGTGACTAAACCAGAAGATTTTGTAAAAAGAATATATTTGCTTTTTTTCTATGTTTAGGGAGAGTTTGTTGACCTTAAACCATCCGTTTAGATTTTCTAGCTCTTGATTAACTGTATTAAATATAAAGTTAGAGTTTTTGTGGCTAAAAGATACTTGCATATCGTAAGCAAATAAGACCAATAATATTTGTTAAACGAATAGTACTGTTTTCTTAAGGTGGATCCATCGTAAAAAAACTAAAACCTTTAAAGCTGTTGATTTTAATATATATTTAATTAAAATATGAACAAAAATATAACTGGAAGAAAAAAATTTCTTCAAAAACTAAAAAAATCTATTTTATAATGCTGAGTCAGCATAAAAATACATAAAAAGTGAGTTATGTAAAACAACTGTTGCTTAAAAAGTGTTTATGCAATCAAGTTAAAACTTTTACACTTTAGAGAAAACATATTGATAAAGTGCCTGAATTAGGATTATTTTATATTTTTATGTACTTTCAAAATGGCTGCTTTATTAGTGAATATTCCAAATATTTGACTAAAAATTGATGGGGAAATACAAATTTTTCAATAAAAAAATAATTCTGTTGAAGATCTTAGTTCAGGCACTTCTTTAAAGTATAATAAACAACTCCTGAAAATTTGAACATATAACTATATACGGATCCAGAGCTATAGTTGTTCTAAGATTACTACATTCAAAAATACAAAAAATGCAGAAAAGTGCAAAAGAATTTTAGTATTTAATAATTTCCTGGAGAATATGACTCTGAATATTCAGTTTCTTTTTCGTTGTCTATGAAACCTTTTCTATGAGCTCTTAGTTTTTTCCTCAGAATTATTTGAGGTGCCTGACTTTTTTTGTTCATGTTTTTTACCCTTGAGAGGTCTACATCTTGAGCTCCTATAACGCTATATTTTCAAAAAATATAGCGTTATAGGAGTAAATAACTTTTCATATCCTAAAGATCTTATCAATATCATCTTATCATATCTTAACAATCTTTTCTTCTTATTTTATTTCTCTTGCTAGCCATTTAAAACTTTTCAACTTACAAAATATCTTCAGTCAGGTTTTTAAATAATTTAATAATTTTGAAAAAACTAACTCTATAACTCTAACAACTCACTCACTCAAGATTAAATAGATTAAATAATTTACGTAATAAAGTAGTTTACGAATAAAACAATTGAAATACAAACAACAGAATAGTTAAAAGCATAGTAATTATATTTTAAGTAGCACAGACTTAAATTATTTTGATTTTGTAGACCAACTGTTTTGGTTGCTATGCGCGTTGCTATGAACAGCTACTACGATAAGATGACAAATTTATTACTTTAAACAGTGTTTGAATGTAAAAAAACCAATTTCCTCTGAAAGACAGGTAATCTAACAAAACCAATAAAAAATAAAAAAATAAAAAAAAAGGACATCTAACAAAACCAATAAAAAACAACAACATTTTTTTGCATTTTTTTAACCATGGATCCACCTTAACAAGTAGTACGTTAAACAAATAGTAAGCGAAGTTTAACGAATAGTACTATTCGCTAAACTTTGGTACCGAACTTTAATATATAACAATCGAAAAATATTTTTGGAAAATGAGCAAAAAAAGAAGATGCGAAACTAATAAACAGGGGGTGAGGTAGGTGGAGGCAAAATAAGGTTGGGGAAAAAGAAATTTTTAAATTATCAAACGGAGAATAGGTGGAACGGGAGAGGAGGGGATGTTTATTTGGGACTTTGAAGAACTAAACACTGATTTATTTGCTCATATGTAACAATTATTTTAATTTTAACTATTATTGCTTATATAACTATATTTTGAAATTACTACAAACGTAAGCGTATCAAATTTATAAACATCTATATCAAAATTACAATTATTTTATCAAACAATTTTTTTTTAAAAAAAGTCTTTACAAACGCATATACATCTAACTTATAAACATATATATAAAAAAACAAACAAAATAAATTAACTTTAATCGCTTTAGCGTAGGTGTGTGTGCGTGTGTGTGTGTGTATGTATGTATGTATGTATGTATGTATGTATGTATGTATGTATGTATGTATGTATGTATGTATGTATGTATGTATGTATGTATGTACGTATGTATGTATGTATGTATGTATATATATATATATATATATATATATATATATATATATATATATATATATATATATATATATATATATATATATATATATATATATATATATATATATATATACATACTAGGAACTATGTGAAAATGCACTCATAAACTCAATAGGAAACGGAAAAATAATTGTAGAGTTCTTCTCAGCAGATATTGCTTGAAGTGTTTGTAAATATCGAAGTTGAAGAGCACTTGGTGACTCACTAATTACATCGGAAGCTTCTTTCAAAGCACGAGCTGCGTTCATCTCACCTTCTGCAGCAATAACCTAAAAAAATAAAAAACTTTTAATATTAAGATTTATAAATTTATTAATGAAAATGTAAATCTACTACAATAAAATTAATAATTTAAAAAAAGCTGATTTTAAAAATAACTTGACATAAAAAACGTTGAATCATTTATTTTAGCTTTAGTTTTAAAAAATGTTCAAATCTAATTGTGTTATTCATAATATTCTTATTCTTATTAAATAATAAGGTTTACAATTAATAAATAATATAGGCATAAAAAACCTGGTTAACCTGCTAATATTAAAAGTTAATAACGTCAGAATTTATAGAAATCAAAATAAAAAGTAACTGAAAAAAAAATGCGAATCAGCCTTAAAGATTTGTTTTTAAGATGATTGTCAATTAGCATCTTAACCTAGATGATGCAGCTAGCATCTTAAAACAGATGACGCAGCTAGCATATTTAAATAGATGATGCAGCTAGCATCTTAGAATAGATGATGCAGTTACTACTTCATGAGGAAAAGAGTTCGATTTATTAATCACTCTTAGAAAGAAAAAGATTTGACAAAAACTATCAATTTCAAATAGTCTTTTATCATATTATTTTTGCACCATTTAAAGATATTTATTAGATTTCTACGAATTAGTCTGTATTTTATACTTTTCATATTTAGCGCGAAAATTCTTTGTTTAAACAAAAATTTTAAATTTTCATTTTCGAAAATTTCATTTCGTTTGGAAGATCTAACACGCTGTATGTTTATGTATATTAAAAAATATTTATATTTAACGTTTGTCTTTAAGAATCCGCGGGTTGCAAATTGATCCACAATACTCCAAATAAGTGTTGCGAATTGATCCACAATACTCCAAAATTTTTTGACTTGAATAGTTGTATGCTTTCAAAATAAAAAATTTGAGTCTACGTGAACACCTAAATCTTTTTTGCAATTAGTAGATTTATTAATTCTTCTTGTAGTTACGAATCATACATAGTATAAATTTGGGACTTGTTGGAGTAGGAATAGTACGAACCATTTTTCAATGTTAGTCTTCATTCCTAATTTTGAAACTATATAACAAGAGCGTCAAAATCGTTATTTAATTTTTGATAAGAACAAATGTTTTTAAGACAACTAAAGATTTTCGTGCAGCTTTTGATCAGATTGTGTCAGGAATATTTTTTAACATATATAATAAAAAGTTGCGATGATAGAATGGAGCCTCGGGGACCTTCACTTTCAACAATTAACCAGTTTAAGTAAGTGCCATTTACAAAAACTTTTTATCTACGATTTTTTAGAAAGTTTTTTATCATACATATCGTCATATCAACACAGAATCTATTTATGCCATAAGTTTCAAGTTTAAAAATAAGAAACTTGTGTGGAACTTTGTCAAAAGCTTTTTAAAAATTGGAAAAATGCTCTCAATGGAAATATTATTATCTAGTAATTTTGTTTAAAAATCAATTACGGTTTTTAGGTTGGACAAGTATGAATGATCAAAGCCAACATAGATTCTGCTATGATTATAATATCTATTTTCTTAAATTGTATAACTATTATCTATTTTCTTAAACTCTATCATATAATTTTTATTTTAATATCGTTGCTTCCAACAAGGCTGCAAGCAACTACTATTAAAGTTGGAAGTTACTGGAAGAGAAAAGATGAAGATTGTAGAGCAAAATAACGATTGACAGACAACTTAAGCTTGCAAATTATATTAATCAGGAAAGCAAGACGAAGGAAGCGAATTCCAAAGAACTGATGTTTGAGGAAAAAAGTAAATGAATAAGAGTTGCAGCAATTAGGAACAGTAACAGAAAAAGGATGAGACTTAATTGAATGACGAGTAACAGGAGAATGAATTTTAGTGGATGTCACAAGTAACGCTAGTTCTTTAGAGCAGTGCCCATTATAGTATTTGTAGAAAAGAGAAAAAGAAGCAACATCACAACGATGTGATAATGGTTGGAGGTTAGCTGTAAGAGCATGTCTAACTATGTTTACAATGCATTTTTACACCTTTTCTAAAAGAGAAAGAAAAAATATAATCTAAATATAATATTCTTAATATAATCTTATAAATATAATTTAAATATAAAATATTCTCAACATAAGCTTATAAATATACTCTAGCAATAACCTATAAAAAAGGACTGCGACACAATGAGAAATAATCAATTTAATTTAAAATTAGGTTTAAAAAAACTTAATAAAAATTAGACAAATAGAAACTAAAAATTACTTATCAGAAATATTTGTGAATTAGCTGAATGAATTAGCTTAAGTTATTATTGATGAAGTAAAAATAAAAAAATTTTGTTCAATTTTCCTAAGCGCTTGTGACACCTGCTCTGTCAATAATTTTCTACTTGTCAATTGCTCGCTTTAACTGATTTTAAGTTTAAAAGAAAACCAAAAGAAAAAGATTCATAGAATGTCATAAAACACCTCATAAAAACAAGTTTAAAAGAAAACCAAAAGAAAAAGATTCATAGAATGTCATAAAACACCTTATAAAAACAAGGAGAAATTAATATAAGTTAGGTTTGTTTCAATAATTATTTTTTTTCAACATAATTTTAAAGAATTTAATATGTATGCATTTTATAGGCATTTTGTTTCTTTTTTACAGGATAAAAAACTCCGCAAGGTGGAACAGAAGAGCAAACTGAACTATGTTAATAAGATGTTTCTAGTCACTTGCATGGTTTAAAATGAGGGAGAGTATTGTACAAACCTAAAAAAACTATACCAAGCTGCATTAAAGCCCAAGAAGTTTTAAACAGGCATATCCTTAGAGCCAAAGTCTCAATCAAAAATGTACATAGAAAAAATGAGGTAGCTGAACGAGGGTTAGTCTGATGACGCCCTTAAAAGACCTTTCTTGAAATTGACATTAGATAGACATTTTCATAAACTGAAATGTTCATTAAAATGTCTATTTAAGGATGATTTAAAACTTTTTTATATTTTTTTAGTCTTAAAAAAAAAGTATAGAATTTTTGTCTTATTTCCATAAAGTATATTTCTTTTTTGAACGAATAAAATATTAAAATATAATTTTTTTTTTATAAAGCTGTGTTTAGAATTCACTTTTTCATGATTTAAAAAAGGTTTGACATATATATATATATATATATATATATATATATATATATATATATATATATATATATATATATATATATATATATATATATATATATATATATATATATATATATATATATATATATAATATGATGTCTTAAATATAACAAAAAAAAATTACTGAGTGGCTCTTTACTTTTTATTTCTTGTTTACAACTTGATACTTGTATTATTTGTATTGCTAGTATCTTGCTCTCAAATTTGTATTCCATTAGAATTTGAGAGTGGCATGATAAGTGATACATAAAAAAATAAAGTGACATGATAAGTGATACATAAAAAAATAAGATGACATGATAAGTGATACATAAAAAAATAAGATGACATGATAAGTGATACATAAAAAAAAAAGATGACATGATAAGTGATACATAAAAAAATAAGATGACATGATAAGTGATACATAAAAAAATAAGATGACATGATAAGTGATACATAAAAAAATAAGATGACATGATAAGTGATACATAAAAAAATAAAGTGACATGATAAGTGATACATAAAAAAATAAAGTGACATGATAAGTGATACATAAAAAAATAAAGTGGCATGATAAGTGATACATAAAAAAATAAGATGACATGATAAGTGAAACATAAAAAGAGAATACATTAGTGACACAATGCTAAAATTTTGCAACATGTTTTTTAACCTTTTTTTAAGGTAGCATTAGGCAAACATATTTTTGTGGTTCTTCTTTTTAGAATATATATAAATCTAAACTATTTTTTAAAAGAAGAAAGGTTATGGTTGATTTTTATTTGGTTATTATGTATGGTACCATAATTTTTTTTATGGACTATTTTGCTGAAAATTTTGAATGAAAATTTGGTTGATGTTCTCACATAAATTTGTAGTCAAAGAAATGTTGAGCCACCTTTTTAATTATTTAGATAATTTTCTACATGAATTTTCTATACACAACACACAAATTTTAACGAAAAAGAAATAGGAGCAGATTGTTTAATTAGTGTAGCCTTATCATGTCACCTTATTTTTATTGTTTTTTTATGTATCACTTATCATGTCACCTTATTTTTTTATGTATCACTTATCATGTCACCTTCTTTAACAGGAAGATAAGCAAGCCTTGCAGCAATCAAAATATCTTTTGATTGCTGCATTATCCTGAGTCATATTGGGGTAGATATAATGTACACTCTTTCAAGATGAATCTGATTTTGACAGCATTTATATCCATTCTAATTTGATTCTACTTCATACAATCTATTATTTTACTTCAAGACTCCATTCCATTCACACATTATTTTTTCCATCCATTCAAAAGTTAGAAACTCCATTCACAAATTATTTTGTTTTAAATTGTTACATTTTGATCCGTCTAAAGAAACATGGTACATAAGACCAATATTTTTATTATAGTAATTTTTACAATATAATATTTATATATTACTTTTTAACATAATATTTATAAATGGTAATAAAACTCTAACTTTCATCCTTGGTCATGTGTTTCTCATCTATATTATTAATGTTCCTGATAATCTTATTCTAGATTTGCTGATGATGTACAGCCACATACTCAAGTCTTGACAAAAATCATCACTTTTTGATCACTTAGAACAGACAGCCAACCTGGTATCTGATCTCTTTTGTGACAGTTTGGGGCTTGCAGTGATTAGTGAAATTTAACTCAAACATTCAAATTTAATTGTTTACTGCTAAGAATTATCACATCGTTGATATGTCCATATTGATGAATTGCATGAACATACTATTCATTAGAAAGCTGGATCTTTTTCTTTTTCAACAAATACTACTTTGGTCATTGCTCAAACAAGCTATCATTACTTGTTCCAATAACAAAAACTTGATCTTAGAACGTGACTTGTCATTCAGTTAATTCATTTAACTTTAAACCATGTCTAAATTTTTTTCCTTAAACATTTGTGCTTTACTATTCACTCCTATTATAATGTTTTCCTGACTCATAAAATATTTTTTTTTTGCTCTTTAACACTCTTCTTTTCATTCTGTAAACTCCTAATATATCTAGTGGTTGCTTTTCATTCTGTAAACTCCTAATATATCTAGTGGTTGCTTTTCATTCTGTAAACTCCTAATATATCTAGTGGTTGCTTTTCATTCTGTAAACTCCTAATATATCTAGTGGTTGCTTTTCATTCTGTAAACTCCTAATATATCTAGTGGTTACTTTTCATTCTGTAAACTCCTAATATATCTAGTGGTTGCTTTTCATTTTGTAAACTCCTAATATATCTAGTGGTTGCTTTTCATTTTGTAAACTCCTAATATATCTAGTGGTTGCTTGCAATCTTGTTGGAGGTAAAATTGTTTAAAAAAACTTATTTAACTGGATCTTTTCTTTTGTTCCCTAATTCAATTCTGAAATCTAGAAAAGCTGAAATCTGAAAGCCACCTTATATCTAGATAAGTTGCTGGAGACAAGCCACGTCTAATCTATGTAAGTTGCTAGATATGTAATAATATTATTGGAGATAAACCACTTTTTATTGGAGTAATATTAGGATACCTTCGTAAAATTCCACTTTTGACATGTTGTTTTTGAATCATAAATTTTAAAGATTTCACAGTGGCTTCTGCTAAGCCATTCAACCATGCATAGTGTGGATTACTTATTGTGCACTTAAATTGTTGAGAGAATTGACAAAATAAATAATTAAAAAAATTAAAATAATAATAATTTTAAATTATATAGTGTGCCATTATTTGAAGCTAATTTTTCTGAAATACTTTTTCTAGAGAATGATTCTTTGCATGCTTGTATTACATCTACTGAACTAGCTTGTATTACATCTACTGAACTAGTACTTAAAAGAAGAGAACAATCTCAGACTGCAAGCTGTAATAATAAATAAATAATAACCAAACAGTTTTTGTTAGACCTCTAAAACAAATCAGTTCCAAGATTTTGCCATGGTCATGTTGAAACATAATTTTTGGCTTTGATAGAAGATACCTCATACTTTCATTAACAATTAAATGTTAATATGGTTGCTTAAACCTGTTAATCTGGTTGCTTAAACCAGAAAACTTTTCCATTTTTAAGTAAATCTTAGGTGTTAAAATATTAAATATTTTACATTTTATGTAAAAAAAAATCAGTATGTTGATTAATATTTTCTTAAAAACTACAACTCTAGCAGTTGGCAGTTAGAGAACATTAAATAAAAAGTTAGAGAAGTTACATTAAAAACATTTAGATGAGTAAAAAATACTTCTTGTTTTGACTTTAATAAAAGTTTGTACAAAATTTTTAGCTGCCCAAAAAAGTCTTTTGAAGAAGTTTTTAGTTAAAGTTTTATTTCAGGTTTTTTCAAGCGACTCTCTCCGATAGGTTGACATGAAATAGAAACTGATAAAATATAAAATAAAAACTACATCATTTTTTTTCTCTTAAAAAATGTAAAACATTCAAAAAATGATGAGTTCTAAACCTTATTATGTATCTGAATGTCAAAATTTTGATAAAATTTGAAACCTATTCATAAACTATGACCATATTTTAGATAAATAATTTTATTTTTCCTAAAAATAATTTCCCTCAAACAAGGTGTTACTGGGGGCTTTTGAGGCTATTCTAATTGAATATCATCTGGTGTCTGCACCTCAAACAAAAGTTTTTATTTAATTTAGAGGCTAATTGCAAAAGATAGACACAACTTGTTTGAGTTTTAAGAAAATTTGTTAAAACTAAAATAATTTTTTTTCACTATTAAAAAAATATCTATACAGGATTAACATTTCATTAAAAACTGTTATTAAGTAAATTATTGTGTCCTGATATCAAAAATAGTATAAAAATTATGTGTGTATAATAAAAAAATTATGTGCATATAATATAAATATTAAAATGAAAGTTTAAAACTAACTTAGAGAAAAAAAATATTTAAACTCCTTTTCAAAAAGTTTATAACTTTTTTTCTTTATTTCTTTGGGAAGGAATATTTTGATCCATAAAATGAAATGATTTTTTGACAAACTCTAGCTTACTTTTGATATTTCCACCAAAAAGTTGTTTTATGTGTTTTGGTTATTTTTTTCTCAACTAAAATAATTGTTAAAATTGCTAAATAATTTTTCTCCAAACATTTGCGACAATTGTACAGGCTAGAAATCAAATTTTCTGCTGTTAAACTGATGTTATTGTTGTTAATGATATTTATTGCACGCAAGTGTAACAATTTTAAACAATTACTATGGGTTGCTGCAAACTTTAAATTAGCAAATTAGCAAATAATAAACTATGCTTAATAAACTAAGCTAATAATATATAATTGTTTAAATAAGAAAATTTGTTAGAATATTGATTTAAAAAATTAAAATTTAATATAGAAAATACTAATTAAAAATGTTTTGTTTCAAAATTAGCCTAAAAAAACCGAACCGAAAAATGTTAAAAATAAGAGGTGAATCTGTTTATGTTGTGTCAACAAAAAAAATTTTTTTTTAAGGAATAATTCGTTGATTTAACTAACCGAAGACTTTGTTAAATCTAGATTAAGTTTGAGCATAAATTTTCATACAACTGAAATTTGTGGAAGATGCAAGACAAACCTATATTTAAACAGAAAGGTAAGGCTACCAGTAAAGCTGTTAAAAGGTCAGCAATAAGTTAAAAAGTTGGGAAACATAAAAAAAAAGCATAAAGCAACTTTTTAATAACAATAACTAGCTGTATAGCAAGTTGTTTTAATTTTTTTGCTTTATACATTAATTTTTCATTTAATTTTTTTGCTTTATAATTGTAGAAATTTTTTTAATTGTACATATAATTAATCAGCGATCATAAGAAACATCTGAAACAATGCATAAAATCAAGACACTCAAAAGGTGTCTTGTGTCTGAAAAAAATGACCATCATGATGACATAATGATGAGAACTAGGAGCTATAGTTGTTAAATTCAGTTCAATAAGATTGTAAATGGATTTTCAAGAATATATTTCTATTAAAAAAATACTTTTTTTTTTTGTAACAAAATAAATACTATTTGCAACATTTTATTTGTCTGAATTTTTATTTGAGATTGTATGTGTATCAAAGGAAGAGAAATATATATCCAAATAAAAATTTGTTAAGAAGAAAATTGTAGCTATTATCGCATTGATACTTATATTTCAAATTTCATTAAAATTCAAGCGCTCAAAAAAATTGTATAAAATTTAGATGCCAATTTTTTTTTTGAATGCTTCACATTTAAAAAAAAACGTTTTTTATCTTATGTTAATCTACTGGAAGTAGAGACATAAAATAACTTGAAGTAAAAATAACTTTAAAAAAATATCTAAAAAATAAATAATTATGTAGTTGCAAGGTTTTAATGTGTTAATATGCAAAATAATTAACTTCCATAAAAAACTTAAAATTTCACTTACTTTAGCCCGTGCTTCTCTCGAAGCCTCTGCCTCTGCAGCCATAGCTCTCTGTAACATTTGTGGAAGACGAACATCTTTAATTTCAACTCTTTCTACTTTAACACCCCATGGCTCTGTTGCTTGATCAAGTATGTGTTGCAAATTTTTACTAATGTTTTCCCTCTCCATAAGCACTTCAGATAAATTTTTTGTTCCAAGTTCATTGCGAAGAGTTGTTTGAGCAAGTAACTTAGTTGAGCGACCAGCATCCTCTACATTGCAAACAGATGCAATCGGACAGGAAATACGAAAGTATGTAACAGCATCAACAGAAACAGTTACACTGTCTCGAGTTAAAATTTCTTGGGGAGGCACATCGAAAGAAATGACACGCAAATCAATCTTTGTATAATTATCAACACATGGAAGAATAAAGAAAATTCCTGGACCTTTTGCACCACCTTTTAACAGGCGACCAACACGAAAAATAACTGCTCTTTCATATTCTTGCACAATCTAAAAGCAAAAAAAATAATAATAATAAACCCAACAATCTTTAACAGTAAATCAAGAAAATCTTCACTAATTGTAATGCTGCTGGAAATTTAAAATAACATTTTAAACATTAAAAAGAACAAAATATTTTATACACATTGAATAGAATAAAATATATTAAACATACCTTTAGACAGAAGATAAGAGAAAATGGTAAAGTGCATAACACAATAAGAAAAGATAATATAGTCAATATCCAAGCACAAATTCCCATTTCCGCTGTAAATTAAAATAGATGTAATAGCATATACGATTACTTAAAAATAAGATTCAATAATATACCCTAATAATGAGCTATCATCATATCTAGGGCATACAGCCGATTAAAAAAAGCTATATATTAAATGGTACTTAATATACCTTTTAGTAAAGACAAAAGCCTATACTAAAAGGTATATTAAGTGAAATATAAAAATAACAATAAGTTATTGACATTTTTTTTTGACATTTTTATAAATAATTGAGTTAAAGTAAATTTTCAAAATTATTTATGAACACTGACAATCACTCCAGGTTATTTAGGAACACTTACAACCATTCAAGATTATTTAAGTAAACTCACAACATTTGTGAGCATACCTAAATAACCAGGGTTATTTAGGTATCTTAACCAGGGTTATTTAGGTATGCTCACAATATTTCAAGCTTAATTAGGTACACAACTTTCCAAGGTATAATAACTTTGATTTTCAGTTAATTAGTTTACATTACAAATTCTCACAAAAAAAGTATAAGTACATATAGTTAAAATTTTTAAATAAATTTTTAAAGAAAATCAATTTTTTTAAATTTTTGATACTTTTTGCCAATTAATAAAAGTATAATAAACTATTAACCAAATTAATGAATTTTGAATAAACAAGGATATTTTAAGCAATTTTAATTAGTTTTTTTTTAAAGTGTTATTTTTCTCATACTGAAGTATTTATAATGTGTAAATCAGATGGGATTATTACAATAGGCAACTTTCGGAATTAGAAAAAAACAAGATCAACAATAATTTGCTGACCCTAATATTTTAGAGGTCGGCTTCTAAACACTTCTAGGTTGGCAATTAGGTAGGAATAGCCGAATGCTGACCCTAATTCCAAAGGCTGAACAGGTGAAGATTATTCATTTGTGGTAATTGTGCAGAGCGCCATTTAAAAAAGAGATTTAGGAATCAGACCCCGCTAGCATAATTTTCACACAAAACTCGAACTGATGTACAGCACAATCTACATGAAGAATACTAGCATGCCTCATTGCATATATTATATTTGATCCACAATTATGAATGAAATTGAATTTTCTCAGGGCCTATATGGAACTCTAGTAGCATCTTATTAAATTTCATTATCTATTTATGTTAACTTTTTAATATTCAGGTCAGGTGGTCTTTATGATCACCCTGCTACCGGTAACATGTAACCCAGTGCAACCTGTTTAATGTCCTGCTGTCTCAATAAAATACTCATCTTGAGCATATGTTTACTGCATCCAGCTGCTGCCTTATAAAAGGCCTTATAAGCAAAGTCTTTAATGGTAAGCAGAACAATTCTGCTAACCAGCCTCAAACACTTCTTTATTAAACTGAATTTTAAAGGGTACAGCTCTAAAACTCAGTTTAATGGTTCTGAGGCCAGCTGGTAGTAAGGTTTCCTGAACTCTGTGGTAGCTCTCAAGTAGACTAGTGGTCGCTTAACACTACCAGGCAACCAAACTTTGTGAAGAGTGACTAAAAATATTCTTTTAATGCAATTAAGTTGACTATTGATTTTAGTACACAATTCTAGTTTATTTTATCCCGCATTTTCTATTATCAATTAGAACATAAGAAATGTGCACGAGCATTTAAACATATTTAAAAAAATACCTCCTAATTAAAAACTAAGATTTTTTATCGTTTAAACAAAAATTTTAGATTAATTTTTTTACAACTTTTACTTAAAGATTTAGAGATAAAGTAATAGAATTTGTCCAAAAGAAAACTTTGACATGCCTTGTTAAGAAGCGTTACAACTAGAACTGTACATACGTGTACTGTTTAAAAACGCATTGTAAATGCAGTTGGACCCGCTCTCTCTGCTAAGCTTGAGTCTCTTTCCCATAGTTGTTAAGTGGCATATCTTCGAAGGAGCTATTATCTCTAATTCCTTCAATTAAAACTCATTCTCACTTGATTCTTCATTTAGCAAAGTCTCATTCTTTTACTGTATCTTTTCTTGCATGCTCTTAAAACTTTTATTTGTCTAGTTTTTTTCTCTGCACTTCAACCCTTTAGAACTCCCTGCCATCTTCATGTTTTCCTGACTTATACAAGCTACGACTTTTCAGGTCTTCAGTCAATATTTTCTTATTGTATAATTCAATTCCTTATTCTATAACTTTATACTTTTTTTTTCCAAATAACTTCAAACTTAATAGTGGTTGCTTGCAGCCTTGTTGAGAGTGAATCCTGAAAAAAAAACTTAGGATTAGAAAAATCCAACTTTTGATTCCTAAAAAGCGAATTTGAATATGATTTTCTTTTTGCTTTGTGAAAGTGAGTTATATTTAAAAGATGATCTTTTCTTTTTGTTTTTATCTCAAGAAATTATCACCTCTTTTCTTGAATATGTTTTACCATAATTTAAATAATTTTCTATATTACTGTCGCACAGTGTTCTATTTTGCTTATCTGGCAGCACTTTATTCAAAAATCTAAAGTTAATGAAAATAAAATCTATGCATGTATTTCAGTTCCTAAATGTTCAAAGCATCTAAAAATGATAAGATACTAAGAAAAACAATAATGCCTTAGCTGAGTCAGTAGATATATTAACTATTTTTCAGTCTTATTAGAGTGTGTGCTCAAGCTATACGTGTTGATATTTCCTAAATTTTATACTTTTTTTTACCTATAGTTTGAAGTAATGGATTCTGAAATTAATTTAATTCATTTTTAAGAATTTTATCTTATTTTTACTCAGATAGTGTTTTTAACATAATTTTTTAAATTCTATTCAACTTTTAAAAAATATACCCCATTTCTCCTCAATAAACTAAATAAATTCTTGTAGAATAATGTTTTCTCTATATGATGTATAAAATTCATCTGCAAATATTTGCAACTTTAGACTTTACGTCTGTTTTTTCACAGAAAGTGACGAAATCACCAATGAAAAATTATACAATTTGTGGAGAACTACTAAATCAACTGAGCAAATTAATATAATTTGTGAATATATTTTTAAAAGTTGGAAAGTGGATAGTATTTCTGATTCAAATAAAAGTTATAGATTTTATTGTGAGTACTTAACTAGGAAGATGACGAGAAAGGACACCAATAGGGATATATTAAATAGATTTATTTTGTATTCTGATCCAATTTTGTCCGACTATTGCTTACCACCTCGAAAAAATTCAAAAACTTTTCATCTGGATACAATCAAACTGTTAATTTGTGACAAAATCGGGCATTCGGAAAATAGTGACAGTGATATGAGTGATTCTGATTAAACAATTTATTATTTTAGTTTTGTTTAAAAACTTGTTTAGGTTATAAAAATATTTCAATAAACAATCTTAAATCTATTGAAGTTAAATAAACAAAGTGTTAAATTTCAACTCATTGATATTACTATGCTGAGTAAGTTTTTAAAAGATTATTATTATGTAAATATTGGCTTTGCATGTAATTTTTAATAATTTTATATCTATTTTATATAAAATTTTAATTAAAATTGCAGCTAAAGGTATTTTTATAGAAAAAATAATAAATTTAAGACAAATAATCAATGAAGTAATACACAAAATAATTAAGTTCTGCTAGATTTGCGAAATAGAACACTGTGTGTCGGCTTCATTAAAGCACTTCCGTATAACACTTGTTTTAGGCTTCATAGTGTTTAAATAAAGTTGTTACCAAGATTTTCAATTCACAACTTGCAATAACTTTTAATAAATGTTTGATTCCTTTAATACCTAAAATTAAATTTTTTCCAATTCACAGGTTCGATATAATATGGTGGTTATTAAACTTAGATCTTCATTATAAATTTTAATCTGATTTCTATAATTATTGAAGTCAATCATTCCACCGGTCAAGCAAATTTTAATTACACCATTTTAATATGGTGCTTTTTAAACTTAGATCTTGTAAGAGCTCCCTAACAAGAGGAGTAAAAAGAACCATGAAAAAAAATTATTTCAACTTGAGAAAATAAAGTGTAGGCATCAAACTACAACTGATAAAATAAATATTAACCTAATTGAAGATATTGAAGATAAAAAAACTGAAAAAAGTGAACTGGTGCATTCACTGCTTTTGCACCAAAACTGGTGCAAAAGCAGTGAATGCACTTTATGCAAAAAATGGCACATTACAAAGTTTAACTAATGTATTCCAACTTTTCAGAGCCAAAACTCTGTAAAATTCCTTGTTTATACTTATGTCAAATAAGAATACAATGTAAAATATTGCAATAATTGGAGCCTGAGAACAACTTTTCCAACTTTTCAGAGTCAAAGTTCTGTAAAATTCCTAGTTTATACTTATAAGAACACTATGCAAAGTATTGCAACATATGGTGCCTGAGAACAAAAAACTCTATATATTTTTTGCAACCTTTCTACCCCAAAGATCAAAGCTACTTTACTTTGATGCAAAAAATGCAAATTTGTTATATATATATACAGTGGTTTCAATAAAATTGTTTCACATTATTAAATTTATTCAGATAGATTAATAAATATAAAAATAATTCTGCAGCTTTCAATAATGTTCTTGCAAATTACAAATTGATATCTTTTTTCAGCAATTTCAAATTTTCTTTTTATGCAACCAGACATTGAGTTTAATTCACTAGACTTGTGATGTGTAAGCAGATGTACAAAATCACTAGACTTGTGATGTGTAAGCAGATCTACAAAATCACTAGACTTGTGATATGTAAGCAGATCTGCAATAATTAAGAATTCTAATGTGTCAACATTAGCACAATCTCATTGTTACTAATTTAAGATCTTTTGCACTGACCTTTGTTAATTAATAAGCTGTAATCAATTACTGTAATTTTAATTTTAATTTTTTTCAATAAAATTAATTAAAAGCTTTAAAAAAATATACAAAATATGGAAGCTGCACTTTTGCAACACTGGTATAAAAAAAATAAACAACTTTTAAAAAAACAGATCCCCTAACTATGACAGTTAGATAGCGAACCTCACTATCTCACTTCTTTTAGTTTGCTTTTTTA